GCCAATGACTGTGAACATACATAAGTGGAGCCTGGCGCTGGAGGTTCGACTCTGGAAAAATGAGGTACATTTAAATCTCTTTACACTTGAGACTGACCCTCCTCTTTTGGTCTTGACAGACCTACAATAACAACGAGGAACTGAAGAAGTTCTACAAAGTTCTCTCCACCAACTGGGACGAAAAGATTGAGTTCATTTCAACAATGGAAGGTACGTTTGTTTCTGATGCAGAGTCCCTTTTATTTAGCACATGAAACTCCACGTCTGTTAACTCCTTGTGTAACTCCCGGCAGCCTATCACTACCCCATCTATGGAACGCAGTGGCACCCGGAGAAAAATGCCTTTGAGTGGAGGATGTCTTACGTTCCGCACACCGCCTCCTCCATCAGGACCATGGGCTACATGGCTCAGTTCTTTGTCAACGAAGGTATTTTTTTTTATTCTTTAACAAGAATAATGCTGCATCATACGGTGATTTTTGTTTTCATACCATTAAAAATTAAATTTCCAGCTGTACATCATATTGTTTTCATACAATTAAAAATTAAATTTCCAGCTGTAAAATATTGTAAATGTGTGGCTGAAATTAAACAATGAAATGAAATAACCCCAGAAAAAAAGAGGAGCTGATTCTTATAATTCACCATCCTTAAAAAAAAACGTGTGTTATCTTTTCTGTCTGCAGCTCGGAAGAACTTCCACGTGTTTGCCTCTAAGGAGGAGCAGGATAAAGCTCTCATCTACAACTACTGTCCTGTCGTCGCTCCACCTCACAGGGTCTTTGAACAAATTTATTATTTCCCTGTCTGAAGACCAGTTTCCCAGATCTGATCTGACCCGTTCGTGGTCTAACAGCTCCTTCCACATGCTTCACTTGGCATTTGCTGCCCTCTTGTGTTCATTGTAATGAACAACAGAGATTAGATCCCTTTAAAGCCGTACCCGGTGCAAGTACAGAGACATTTTTAAACTGTGTTGCTAAATAAAACGATTGACTGACTCCCTCCAGTGACGTTTCCATTTAAAACATGGGCAAATTTCATTAGAATTCAATAGAAGTCCACCAGCAAAAGTAATGAAGTCTGATGGACGATTTTAGTGAATTGACAGCTACTACCCTATAAAACACATTATAATTGTAATACAATAACGATGATGATTATTATATATTTTTTAATCACGTTTAAAAATAAACCCGTTTAAAGTTTCATTTTAAGTAAAGTCACTGTAACCAAAATTCAGCAGAGGTTCGAAAGTGGGCAGGGTGTGCTCTTATTTTGAAGTCGTAACAAAATTAAATGTTGCGTTCTTAAAGGTGTCTGAGGACGACATCGTCTGGTACTGTTGATGTTAACAGACAAGATGAAGGTTCTCTTTTTCTTTTCTCTGTTTTTCACTTTTTATTTTTATTCTTCATCTCGGATAAACGACAGCCCTGTCATTGGTGAGTGTTTTATTTCTCTTCTGTTCCTAATTTAACTCACTCTTTTAACAAAAAAAGATACGTTTTTTTAGGTTTATTGCCATTATCACAGATCCAAAGCGACAGAAAGAGCGAAAGTAGAAGATGTGATTTGCGAGGAAAGAATTTACGTCGAACGGTAACGGAATAACAAGTGCACGTAAAGAAGTTTAGAGGAGTTGTAGTGATAACAATATATTTTATATTTTAAGACTATACCGGTCAGGTCGAATGTAGTTTGAGGTCGTTAGTGTCTATTTGAACAGGTGAGCTAGGATTAAATATTTAATATTTTTTAATTATAAAGAATTGTATTCATTGTGTGTAACGGGCAGTTGAACTGTGACCTGATATTTAGAGGCACACAGGAAGTACATTTTTATTTTTATTTTTATCTTCATCTTCTGGGTGTCTTGGTTCAGAGTCCCCGGCTTCAGTCCGCTGACCGCAGGTTGTTTATTGCGGCGTCCTATATAAAGTTCCTGGAGGCTGCAGGGGCCAAAGTGGTTCCTGTCTTGTCAGTTTGACATTTTCACACATCATTTTAAAGAAAACTCCTTGGGACCAGTTCGGCTAACAACTAACCTGTCATTGTTTTTTTTACTGATAGGCTTGAAAGATCTTTGGGTGAATACAAGGAACTGTTCAACTCCATTAATGGGTAAAATCTGCATTTATTTATTTTTTTATATAACAGACACAGCCAAGATTAGCACATTTAGACAAAACGAGATTAGATTAGACGTTGGAATGATTTTGATTCCACATTTAATTCCGGGGGCTAATAGCGTCTGACGTACATTTCCGAATGGTTTCAGTTATACACGTCATAATCACTAAAACATTAAGTCACATTTTACTACACAAACACTGTGGCCGCGGTACAAAGTTACTGTGATTAAAAAGAAGGTCCGACGCTGAGCAGCGAGGTGCTACAAAAAAACATGCCATGACTGTGTGGCTCTGACTGATGGAGAGAACACAGCATTACGCTGTTCTATCAGTTAGCATTTGTTATCATGTACGTTAGGGTTTCTCCCAAACGGGTTAAACACGTTGTCATAGAACGTTGTCTCTGAGGGGACATCGACGTGGTGTAAGACTAAAATGAACTAGATTAAATGTATATCAATGATAGTAGTAACAAATACTCCCATTTGCACAATATAAAGTAAATAAGGTGAATTAAACTTAACTGAAAGCAAAAAGAAATACATTTCATATCGTCAACAAGTAGTTTGAAACTGTAAAACAGATCAGGAAGAAACGGGCTGAAATGTTTTATTAATTTTTTTCCTATTTATAGACTCCTTTTACCTGGAGGATCAACCAATATTTACACAACTAATTACAGCAGGGCACTGAGGATACTTTTTAAACTGGCTCTTGAGGTAATTTTGACAGCTTTGCTTCAGCTTTTAATAGATAAGAAAAGCAGTTTTAAATGTAGCCTTTATTCACTTTGTGATTTTTATTTTTATTTTTTTAGGCCAACAGGAAGGGCGACTACTTTCCAGTGTGGGGCACCTGCCTCGGATTCCAAGCGTTGTCGTTTATGGTCAGTTCCGAGATCAGACTGACACGCACCAACAGCAAAGGCATGGCATTGCCGCTCAACTTTACTAAAGGTCAGGATTCAGAGTCCAGATCAGTTCTTTATGTTACTTGAAAATGCGAGAACATGCTGGGACCCCATTTCAAACAAATGATACCATGGGTGTTTGTGCACTTTTGTCCTATTTAAACCACAGGGAGAAAGCTGCCCCCTGCTGACTGTGGCGATGAGTTAAAAAGACTCTTGGTTGTGTGCAGTGGTGTGCTGTGTCACTTTCATAACTGAAGGAATGTATCACTAAAACAAAATAACTCAGTACAAACCAACAACGGTGTTGTAGCGGGTCCCTGAGCCAGATGTTGAACAAACCTGGGACCCCATTTTGTGCACTTTTGTCCTATTTAAACCATTTGTTTTGTATTTTGATGATGTGCACTGGATGGTTTTAGTAACTGTTGATTCAATGTGTTGTGAGGTGATGGCTGAACTTCCTCCGATACATTTCAAATTTGCTTTGGTTTCAATGTTTTTTTTTGGGGGATGGGGGGATTGGTTATTTGCTCTGCAGAAGCCAAAGGCAGCAGGATGTTTAGTGGGTTTCCTGATGAACTCATACAGGAACTGGCGTCTAAACCTCTGGCTCTACACTCACACAAGTGGAGTGTTACGTCACGGGTAAGACACTAAGGAAGTGTACTTAGTGATATGCCATCAAGGAGCACCATCTCTGTCCTGTTCCTAATCCACCTTGTCAACACACCATGTGTATTAAGATGAAGACAGACAGTACAAACCAGTTTGATGAGCCTTATGCTCCTAGATTTCCTAGAGAAATCTCTGAGAAAAAGTCAAGTTTATGGAGCCTCTGTCAACTCTTTGTTTGTTTTTCCCTCAGGTGTTTTACACAGACCATACACTGTCCACCTTTTACAGAGCCATCACTACAAACTGGGACGAGAAACAAGAATATGTGTCAACACTTGAAGGTACTTTTGTTCTTCCGTTAGCAAGAATCAAACATATTTAAATCATCTCTCACGTGTGTTTCTGCTGCAGGCTATCGTTATCCGTTTTATGGAACGCAGTGGCATCCAGAGAAGCTGGCCTTTGAATGGAACCAGTCTTCCATTCCACACAGTGCCTTAGGAATCCGGATCATGTTCTACTTAGCTGAATTCTTTGTCAACGAAGGTTTGTGGAATAATTGTTGCTTCCACATCTTGGTCTGCTATTAGCTTTATATAAAGCTACTACTTAGCTATTTAAGAAAACTTTAGTGTCTTTGGATGCTTTTTGCATTTAGAGCTAACTTGTATCAATGATCAGTTCATCGCTATGATTTGGCAACTGTTGACTTCAGGTCATTTATTTTGTGTTTTTGTTCTCCAGCCAGGAAAAACTTCCACAGCTTTAGTTCCGAGGCTAAGGAGAGAAAAGCTCTAATATGGAACTACTACGCCGTTTCCTCTGGAGTGAGAGGCGTTTATGTGCAAAAATACTATATTTGAATCTCTATTTAGAGCAGCTTCGGCTGTATTTCTATGATTCAGTTGTATTTTTCTGTCCTGTCCTATTATTTCTTTCATCTGTTTTCTAATTTAATAATGGCTATAGAAAATTTTGAATCATTAAAAACTGTTCTGATCAATGATAATTAAAGTGTTTCCTGACCAATCCTGGATTTACCTGACGGAACAAACACCAAAATAAAGAGTCCTAAAATGCAAATGTATTCCCTAATATATGCATAAAGTTTATAATTCGTGTTAAAAAATTCAGTTTTTTTCAGAATACCGTCATGTACTAGAAACACTTTTTTTAACGGTTCACGTGACGCCAATCAAACCACGGTGGTAATCAAGTCGCTCTACAGCTGCAACGAAGTCAGACAGCAGGTCAACACCGAACTACAGCTCCGTTTTGAGAGGAAGAAAAGGGTTTCGTTCGACGCATGAGCACAAAGGAGCGCAACGAGCAGCTGAAGAAAAAAACAGAATCTTTTACTGCGACTCATTGTCGCAGCCGCGTAACTCGACTTGGTGCATGCAGTTTGACAACAACCTCTCAGAGAGCACCTGGGCTCATCAACGGTCTCCAGAGCGTCATCAAGGAATTCGCTCACGTTGTCCGGGTGTCCTTTCTTTGCGGTGGGTGACACGTCAAACATGTCCATCATGTATCAACGCACTGTCATTATCTGATATGTAAATGATAAAGGCAATGTGTGTTTGTGACCGTTTTCTAGGCTTTTACGATGTCAGTGCAGACAGAGATGCAAAAGCCATGGCAGCCAAACTCATCTGTCAGACGTAGGGTTGGACAGCACGGCGGCCAGCTTGAGTGACAGCGCACTGCCCCAACGCGATATTCATCCACTGCTGTGCACAAGGTACAAATAATTCAAACAGCCAAACTGTTTTTTGCGATGCCTTAGACATATAATAATAATGATAATATGTTTACCAAAATACGATACAAGTAGTTTTCTAAAAAGAAAGTCTTAATAACTACACACTTAAAAAATACCCAATTTCACGTGTAATGTTGGTCGGAAGGTGAAAAATTATGACAATTAATAAAACACTAATTAAACGTTAATATAAACTTTTTTTTAGAAAAAACATTTTCTAAAAATGTTCTGAAAATTTTTTTCTTTCAAAAAAAAAAAAAAAGAAGGTACCAACCGCCCTAACCAAAATTCGACCTTGCCCAGGATGTTAACCCTGGGGTTCCACACCAATGACACATTTTTTTTTGGACTTTTAAACACAAAATATTCACTTGGCAGCATGTTTTATGATAGTCTTGCATTTTAAGGCATTTCGGGGACTTTTTATTTTTATGGAGTTTTTCATGATGGTAAGGCTATATATTTTGAAAAATTATTTTACAAAAACGGTTGTCAAATTTCTTTAGTTCTTGAACAAAAATGACACAAAAAATTCAAATTTTGACAGAACTTTATAGAAAAGTATTTCTAATAATGTTCTCTACAAGCTCTAATTTAATGAGAAACATGCAGTAAAAGAATTATTTTTTAAAAATAGTTTTTCATCAAAATTGTTTAGTTTTTGAATAAAAATGACACAAACTTCACATTTTGACAGAAAACTTTATATTATAATATTCATAAAAATGCTTTCTGAATGCCCTAATTCAATGAGAAACATGCAAGAAAAGATAACATTTTTAAAAATAGTTTTTCAAAAATTTCTTATCAAAATTGTTTAGTTTTTGAACAGAAATGACAAGAAATTCACATTTTGACAAAAAACTTTATAGAAAAATATTTCTAAAAATGTTTTCAAAATGTCCTAATTTTATGAGAAACATGCAGGAAAAGAATTTAAAAAACAAATTTCAAAAATTTTTCATCAAAATTGTTTAGTTTTTGAACAAAAATGACACAAAAAATTCACATTTTAACAGAAAACTTTATATTAAAATATTTCTGGAAAAATGTTCTAAATGCCCTAATTTTATGAAAAACATGCAAGAAAAGCTAACTTTTAAAAAAATAGTTTTGCAAAACGTTTTCATCAAAATTAAGTTTTTGAACAATAATGACACAACAAATCACATTTTGACAAAAAACGTTATACAAAAATATTTCTAAAAATCTTCTCTAAATGCCCTAAGTTTTTGAGAAACATGCAGAAAAGACAATTTAAAAAAAAAATTCAAAACATTTTCAACAAAATTGTTTAGTTTTTGAACAAAAAAGATACAAAAGGTTCACATTTTGACAGAAAACTTTATATTAAAATATTTCTAAAAATGTTTTCAAAATGTCCTAATTTTATGAGAAACATGCAGGGAAAGAAAACATTAAAAAAAAAATTTTTTTAAAGATTTTCATCAAAATCTTGTTGGTTTTTTACCAAAAATGACATGAAAAATTCACATTTTGACAGAAAACTTTATACAAAAATATTTCTAAAAATGTTCTCTAAATACCTTATTTTATGAGAAACATGTAGGAAAAGCTAATTTTAAAAAAATATTTTTTCAAAAATATTTTATCAAAATTGTTTAGTTTTATGAAAAAAAATGACAGAAAAAAATCACGTTTTGACAGAAAACTTAAAAATATTTTTCCAGAAATTTGAAATATTCATATAAAATACT